GTACTATTTTTCACGTTTTAGCCATCAACCGTGTAGACTAAAACGTGAAAAGTAAGTGTGCGTATTTGTAGTATTTATATGGTAAAATAAAAATAATCTAGTGATTTCTTTTTTGGATGTTAGGCCACGGATGCTTCCGAAATAGAGTTGGGTCGAGTTGAGTTAATTTTACTATAGTATATGTATCAACTCAACCCAGCACATTTGCATAGAGCATAATTACATTAAAGTGAGAAAATAATAGATTATAAATATTGTCATGTTTGCTTATAATATTTCTTCATGTTATATATTATTTTTTTAGAATGAATGTAACACACAAACAAAAAATAAAATAATAAAATAATAAAATTAATTATAATAATATAATAATAATTATTATTATCTATATAATTCCTGAAATTGTTTTTCTGGGATATCAAAAGGATCTTGAGTATCTCTTAAAATTTTACGCATAATTCTTGTTCCTTTCGTTTTGTTCCTCATTTACTATCCACCATGCAGCAGCCATCGTAATTGATTAACTTATTATGAATATAGATATTATTTTTCATGGGAAATATCAATTCGCATGAAAGTTTTCACTTTTTCGCACTAAAATTTTCACTTTTTCGATTTACGTGAAAATTTTCACTTTTTCACGAATTCATCCTAGGGTGCGTTCAGATTCCCTACCCGAGTGCACTCTATTACTAGAAACACTATAGAATATGTTACATATACTATAGCACTTCTAGTATTAGAGTGCACCCAGGTAGGGAATCTGAACGTACCCCTAGGTGAAAAGATACATGATCGATCCCCAGACTACTACTTAAACAATGTTACTAACCCGCAGAAATTGAAATTATATTGCCTAGAGGTTTTCGTTGGTACCAACATTATTCCTTTTACTTTTCGGGAAAATGTCGTGTAACCGATTGGTAAGCGGACAAAATCCATAAAAAAGAGGGGATAACGTTGGCGACGTTCAAAAGTCTCTAGGATCCATAAATTTATTTCTAAAGGTTATAATTGTTGGACGTTAGGAGAATGTACAGAAGTGTAAATTTGTGACATGTTTCTGCTCCTCTGTATACTTTCCTAACATCCAACAATGATATCTTCAAAAATGAATTTATGAATCAGATATTCATCTTCAGAAATGAATTTATGAATCCTACAGACTTTGAACGTTGCCAACGTTATCCCTTCTCTTTTTATGGATTTTGTCTGCTTACCAACCGATTATCTAATAGCATTTCGACTGACTTTGGGTTAACCCACTGGGTTATTCAGTCTACGTTTATTGATCAAACAAGTATTTACAAGCTTTATGATTGGCTAGCAGAGACTTGTGACATCATTAATCGCTCTCGGAGCGATTAATCCAGGGTCAATCGCACACACTATTAGTTAGAGTTAGCTAGAGTAACATAGCGGATAACGGGTGTTTACGATAATTCGAGTTGGAGTTAGTACGAGTTAGTTTCACTAGGGCTGAAAAATATAATAGTCACAAGCATCTAGTATTTTCATGATTCATGACAACTCAATGCTGTCCGATAAATCGAGTAGAGTAGAGTTAGATGGGTGTATATCAGTTGGACACGGGGCAATTGGACACAGTCCAATCACAAGTCGCTGTTCCAAGGGACCCTACAAATGTCTCTAATCACACGGTGCTGTGATTGGTTGTGTCCAAATGCACCGTGTCCAAGTGCACCGCTCCCGAGTTAGATTAGTATAGCGGATAGTATATGTATAAGAATTAGGGCCTGAACACAGATTTTTGCATAACGCATAACGCATAATACATAAGGAAATCAATCAATCAGAGTCATTCATTTCTATCCTGGAGAGGGAAATAAAGGTCTCTGATTGGTTGATTCCCTTATGCGTTATGCGTTATGCGTTATGCAAAAGTCTGTGCTCCCAGCCTTAACAGTATCAGGTAACAGTTTCGTAAAATATATAACAATAATATTACGAAACAATGAGTTGTTACATGAGTTGTTTTAGAAAAATTAGAAGCACTAAATTAAATTATGAAAAGTTATTATATATTTGTGAAATATCCAAAAGTAGAAAACAATTCTTCTAACCTATTGTTAAC